AGTTCCCTGGCCATTCCAATGTCTCAATTTGATTCTCAGACATGAATTTCTTGACAATTTTGGACGTATGGCAAGGAGCTAAATCCTGTTGAAAAATCCCTGTTCCATCAGGGTATCGTTTCTTCAACTCTGGAACAACTTTTTTACCCAGAATAGTAATGTACTGCTCAGAACGCATCATACCGTCAATAGGCTGCAAAGGTCCAACTCCATTGTAACCGAAACAACCCCAAAACATATTCTTTAAAAACACGGAAAAAAAAGTTTGTTCCAATTAATTTGCACAAGGGTGTACAGTGAAACCTCCGGGGTGCGACCACTCTCCGTTTCTCAGTGAAATGGTGTATGATGGAGGTTGGTCTCTCTTAGAGGATACATTGACTTCAAATCTGTTATCGAGGATACTATATAATTTTTCGCTAACGATAGAGAGTTTTTTAATGGTCTCTCTTAAAAGTTTTCTTCAAAGTTTATGGGAAAAATTCCGTACCTCCCGAAAGTAGTCGTTACATAGAGATGGTCTTTCTTAGAGGTTTCACTGTATATATGCGATATCTGCTTGTAGGATTTAAGAGTACACGATTTAGGAAACTTTCCTATTGAAATTGTTATTAATTTAATAAAAATGAAACCTGACTAAATATACTTTGGTAAAAATTTGATAACCACCTAAAATTTAAAATTTTCTAGATTTATTTATTTTGTTGTTTTCCAGCTACTTCTTATTTTTAATTTTGAAATTATACCAATTTAAAATTGCTCCGTGCTAGCGACCTCTTCAAAGTCTATTCCCAACTATAAGAATAATAAAATACGTAGTAAAAAAATTAATGAAAAAAAATAATAAATGGGCATGGATCTAATTGTTCTGATAAACTGCATATGTAAAATTTAAATGTTAGAAATTTGGGTGGTAGTCAGTGTTTACAAATAAGAATTTAGATTTGCCAAATTTAAAATGGTTAGTCCTATATGAAAATTAAAAAAAAAGCGATTTGTTACGAGCTATTTCAATAATACATATATTTAGAACGAAGAAGTTTCAAATTCCCGATTGCAAATAAAATTTCGATTTTTGAAAAGTTAAATTTGAATTTAAGTGTTGTATTTTGTTGCTAAAATGATTCAGATAACAATTCAAAAATTTTATTAAAAAAACTAGAAATATCGATAATTGCATTTTTCTAAAATGAAAAATGGAAGAAACGAGTACAAAATAAAAAACAAATTTGTGAACAGGCAACATATATATATGAAAACAATCATATTCACAATAATTTATAAAACACAAAATATTGTAATAAAATTCGTATTTTTTAAAATTAATGGGTTTCAGCCAGCTCGCACTTTTCGGTTTATGAATTGGAAAATATATTTAAAAATATATCCTTTTGGAAATTAAAACTTTCAAACTATTTAATACTTTGATGTATTTATTTTCTAGAAATATTAAAAAATTATGATAGGAAAAGTATTCAAATTTAAAAAAAAATGGGTTTTTTTTAAAAATATGACTGTTCAAATTATAGAAAACTTCCAAAAAATACAATTGTTTTATTTCCTATTTTTTACACTCTTCGTTTCTAGGAAAAACTTGACTCTTATAAACTCAAAAGTAGAAAGGTACTTCGCCGTAGTGCTGCTACCTAGTGTTAAGATGGAGAAGTAAAACCTTACCGCTAATTTTAAGTCATTTTGCCACCACTACATATAAAAAATTCAAAGTATCATATCAAACTGCAACGTAAACGCAGTAGGCGCAAGTATCATTGTTCCACAAGTTCTACTATTTATTCCGCTTCCATTTTATTAAAACTTTTGCAGAAAGCGGAGCAGCTGGCATCCCTAATAATTAAAGCTGATGATTACACTTGAATAAAACAAAAATTTTACATATTTGTCAGCATCTCAAGTCTTCGCCACACTATTATCAAGTCTCTCTCATATATTTGTTCAAATTTATTTATTAGTCATGATGTCAAAATCATACTACATAAATTTTATTAAATTAAAAATCCAACAAAAAAGCGTAACATTTGCCACCACTTTATATATACCAAGAAAAAAAAAAATCATTATACCGAGTGTAGTTGGTAGTTAGTGTAAATTTGAGCTTTATTATTATTTAAAATAAATCTTGTTAATAAAGTCTGTAATTGAAATTTCGGAGACTAAAGCTCAGAAGGTTAAATTTTTCTTTACCGGACCACTGGGAAAGCTTGAAATAGAAATTTTTTATTTTACTACAATTTCAAACTTCAAAACTTAAATTAAAACTATATCATATTACTTACATTTTAGCTCTTGAGCATTTTTCATAAACGGCGTTGAAAAACTGATCCATCTGTTGGATTAATGACTGTTAATGTTCAATTCTGTAGCTTAATAATTATTACTGGATTAAGTGTGAAGGCAAATTAGCCTACGTGAAGATTTTTGATGGAACTAACCAGGGCCGCCTCGAAAAGAAAAGGAGTTATTAGTTCAGGGGGCGACGGCACTCGTTTAGTGACGTCATGCATTTTCGATCCATCTACGTTCTTCATTTTCTCTCTAGACTTTAGTGGTTTCAATGTTGTTCTAAAGAGATTGCTTCATTCTTTAAATTTCAAGCTCTGCTAAAAAGGGAATCTTCATTTCAGCGAAAACACAATTGCTGAATTTCCTTAGTAATAATTTTTGAAGAATATTTAATAAAATTATTTTTATGTGAAGGAGTGCAGAGAAATTCCGAAATAACTTTTTCACCTATCGTCATTATACCATATATTTATAATTAAAAATATGGATCGTAAGCAGAGTAAGAAAAATAAAATCTTAATACTTTTAAATATTTCAACTATAAAAAATCAGATTTTTAAGCAAAATAATAATAATCATAATGATAATAATAACCAAATTTCTTTTTAAATATAGAACATCTGTTAATCTCGAAACTGGACTTGAAACGAGTTGCAAGAAATTTTTTAAATTCTTCTTCTGCCTAAATTAATTGACATAAGAAGTTTCCAGTTATTTTCTAACTACGGAATACGAGTATACGAAGCATGATTTAGTATTAAATGCACTAAAATTTAATCTATTCTAATTAAACATAATATAAATTTTATGCATATTCTTCAGTTTATTTTGAATCTTTAATTGCCAAACATATAACTTCTTAAGACTTAGTGCAAATGAAATTATCATCCACAAGAAAAGTTGTAACGATCTGAATGTATCAAGAACTAACTAGTTTATTTATTAAATGCGTTCTGTTAAAAAAATTTTAAATATTTTTAATTAATTAAAAATGGTAAATATTTCTTCTATACTTTACCTTTATTAGACCTGAAAAAATAAAAATGTGATTTATCTGTAATATTGCTTATCAATAATTTATTGCAAATTATATTTTTGATACATACAAGTTGAATAGCCATCTACACTTTTATAATTCAATTAAATCTTTATTCAATATATTGTTAATTACTAATATGATGTTTTGAACCAAAAAAGTTGGTATACTTTCCGACATGGAAGAAATTAACTTTAATTCCCTTCAATTTAATAAGAACTAATTTTTATAATTGATTACTATTGTAAAAATATTTCATATTTAGCATTTAACAAAACAAGACTATTAAAATAGTGTATAAAAGGCATAAGATTCATACTTTATTCAATTACTAAGTAATGAATTTAAAAGGATAAAAAAACAAAGCGTATATAAAAAAAAAGAAGAAAAAAAAAGAACTTGAAAATTTTTTAAAATTCTATGTAAAAAAAATATATATATATATATTTGGACAAATGTGTANTAAAAAAAAAAAAAACTTGAAAATTTTTTAAAATTCTATGTAAAAATATATATATATATATATATATTTGGACAAATGTGTAGGGAAATTTAAATGGCTAATTTAATGTGTAGCGGTTAAATATGAAGTAGCAGGCAGAAATCATTTATTATTGATTATTTAATAAAATCAAACTCTTGGAATTTCATGAACTGTTGGATTGACAAAAAATATTGGAATAAATTCCACCATACTTCGACAAGGTAGTTTTGGATCCTTGTTACATTTGTAATTAATAAAATAATTAGGAAGTTTTTAGAAAATTGTTTAACTAAAAATTTAAAAGTAGTCTTTATTTAATATTTTATTTTACAACCGGTGTTGATCAGCCGACCCAATTCTGAGTTTACGACTATTAATGTTCAACTCCGTAGCCTTGTAATTTTGAATGTAACCCAAAAGAAGGGAAACTCCTGGATCAAGCATCGCAAACTAGCCTTCGTTTTGATAGAACTAACCCGTATTTGAGTTATATGGAAAGGAAAACTATGAAAACCAGCAACGGTTCAACCGCATCAACTTTAAACGCCTACAGTATGCCTGTAAAATTCGCGTCTTTGCAAATATGCCAATTAGCTCGCTTTATTGAACAGAAAACTTTAAACTTATTTTATGTCATTTTTTAAAATTCTTTTTTCCAAAATACCGCCAATTTGTGAAGAAATTTTAAGAAATTTTTTAAAAAAAATCCTATTTGTAACAAAAACTAGATCCATGTAGTTTAAAAACCAAAAACACAATCAAATTTTGATGATTTTTTTTCCCAGCTTATGAGAACAAATTATGTACCTTTGAAAAATCTATATTATATAAAACGCTAATACGTATGTATCAATAAAACCGATGATATTTCTTTTCTCGCGTTGGCAGCAGTTTTCATTTTTAATTGATAGGCTTCGGCGCGCAAGAGCACGTAGTGAGCATATCATATGTCTAATCGGGTGAATTCTCACCGAATTATCAAAAAAATTCTCACAAAATTATCTTCATCGAAGCCGATGCTTTACATCCGGCGTTCAGTACTATTTCATATTGTTTTACAACACATGGTTTTAGCCCTCTGGTGGGAAAGACTTTAAAACAAAACTTACAAAAGTTACTTTTCTCAACAACTGAAATTTAGAATAGTGTGATTAAGAAAAATATGTGAACTGTTTGCAATTTTAAATTAATATTGAAATGCACAGGTTTAGAATTTTCTACAGTTAAAGTTTTCGGAACTTCAGTGTTCAAAAAAGTATACAAAAGATAGACGTTAAGAACGTATCTAATGCGCAAGTAAAGCGAGCATCGGATTGCGAAGCAATCCGAAATGAGCTGCGAAAGCAGTTCCGGGGGTTGGCGAGGTCCAGCGAGCAGGGGGCGAAGCCTCCTAATAATTTATAAACACTGTATTACA